CAAAACCTGTTAGTGAACTACAGTACGAGGGCAAAAACATAAAATAAATAAATAAAATAATCGTTTATCAATCGTAATCGAGTTCTAGTGTTCAATTAATTTCGATTTTAGGCCAAATTACCCAGCCCTAAAATAAAGTATTAAATTCTTTCAGTAGTTCAGGGTTTTCTCCTTTTGTCACTTCATTATTATTACAAAAAAAAATTCAGATTGTTTATTGGGTTTATTTGTTTTACTGGGTTTTTACCAAAATCTGCTTTAATTCCATGTCAACAGCTCCTTTAGAAATATTATTCCCCGGGAAAAACATGACAGTTTAGGCTTTTTTAAATGACATCAGCTTAAAGACGCCTCTCATATGGAGAATGACGCCTCATGCATTGTTTAAGTCTGTGAAAAACTCACACCTGTACAGAGTGTCAAAATCATGATGCTTACGTGCGTCTCGTCTATCAAAACTGAGCTTTATTCTGTTTTCTCTATTGGATTCAGATCAGATGATTGGCTGGGCCATTCTACAGCTTAATTGTCCTTCTCCGAAAGCATTAGAGAGTCTCCTTGGCTGCATTGTGGATCATTGTCTTGCTGAAATAGTTTCATCTTCATCCTCCTGCTAATGTAGATGTTGGACTGAAGCAGCTGATCTTCATTTACACTGAAGAGACATTGGATTGCTGAAGAACTACTGAGAGATTTCAGCTGCTGTCTGGGCTTTCACTATTCAATATGTTCAATATGTCTTTCCAGTGCCATTTTGTATTACTACACTTTATGGATTTCTTTGCTTGTCATCAACATCTCGGGAAAATTTCAAGTCAACGGCACCTTTAGAAATCTGTTTTCTGAGAAAAATGCTGACGTGTTCAATACTTATTTACCCCACTCTATTTGTATATATACATTAGATATATACTAGATCATATATTCATACATATACATTAGATTAGTCAGTACCAAAGACAAAACTGATTAACTGATCTAACGAAAAACTAAGGATCAGTCCAAAAATGAAACGAAAAATCAAAACAAACATAAAAATAAAGCAGCATGATATTAGAAAAATCGTATATTGAGATATTTAGCTTTTCTGCGATGTGTATTGCAATATACTGAAGCTATATAACCTGAATAGCACTATTTGTAAATAATTTGTGGTTCAATTCTCACAATTATCAAACCATTAATAAGATCGTGCAGATTATGTGCTTTATAAGTACTGATAAGCAGCCAAAATCTCAATAACATGCATGCTCAGAAGTTAATAATGAGAATTAGTGCCTGATGATTCTGCAGAGTGAATCATAATAAATCACAAGCAGAGAAATGCAATAAAGCAAAGGTAAAAGTGCTTTATGGATTTGTAAATGTACTCTAAAGCAGTGGTCCAAAACCACCGGGCCGCGGACCGTGGAACAATTGGTACCGGGCCACATAAGAAATCATAAATTATTTCTGTGGAAAATATTCCCCCCACGACTTGGTTTCTTCCACTCACCCCCGCCATCTCTCGCTAAATGGACTATGCCAAAATCCACCACGGAGCGGGAAGAATGATCGCTAGAATATAGCTCAGTGATGGTTGTTGATAGTGTAAAGTTATTAAACAGATATTATAGAGTGCAAATCAGCAGAGCATTTAAGGATATTGCATATATGTGTGCGTGCACCGCTAAGTAAGTACTCAAAATCATTGCAATATGTATCTATATGGAGTTTCACATAATCATACTCATTAGGGCTGTAACATGCCAATGCATACATTTAATTCGGCTATACGGTTGTATTATTGTTCATATGTTCGTCAGTTGAGATGTTTGGCACAGATGTTATGTATTAGATGCATATAAACCTTGATTGAAACATAATCAGACCGCATTAGTGCAACTAGCGCATGCGCACTGAGTTGTTCAAGATTAACCTGGATGCACGAGCGCACCCCAACCTATCCCCCCGCGACATCGATGCTCAAACCATTTATTGTGCATAATTGTATATTGTGCAAATCAAATTTGATCAAAATGTTGACGTTGCAAAAACGTGTTTGAATTAAATGCATTTATTTCTATCCCTAAAGACGCTAAGTGACTAAACTCTTATTTAATGCATATAACTAAACTGATTTGTTTCAATGCTCCAACATATATAGTCTACATTCTACATGAGAAATGGATGAAAACATTCATTTATACTGAGCGCTGTGAATGCATTGAGTGCAATAGCAAACTGCTCAAGATACAAGAGTGAAAGCGCAGTGTGACACTGAGCTGATGTTCAGTGGGTGAAGAGCAGCTCTGCTTATAGGAAAAAAATCAAACCACAGATTCACACCACGCAAAAACTGGAGTCATCTACTGCACATTTCACTCTGCTTTTAGGTCAACTGTGAGACCTTTATGTTCCTGTATATATTAGATTCAGTCTACAAATTACAAATCAACAGGGAGTAAATGAATTAAAAGTAAATTTTATCAAGCTTTAAATAGTGCTGTCAAACTATTAATTGCATTAAAGTCTGTTATTATATACATCTAAAATATTAATATATATTTTGTAGAAAAGGATATATAGATCCCCTTCGGTTAGGGAACTTCAGTGCTATTAAGTGGATTTGATATTGAAAATCCACGTATGGGAAGGATTCGGTTCAGAAGCCGCTTGTCTGAAAGAGTATTGAACGGGCCAATGAATGCAATGAATTGGCAGCGTAAGCTTGCACAGGTGTGCTTCATTGCCAATTATCCCAGCATATAAGCACACCTGGAGCGAGCAAACAGCATCCTTTTAGGCTGAAGAGACTTTTAAACAGCTAAGGGACAGTCGTTATGGCGACGGAGTATAGCATGCACGCACGCACACACACACACAAAAAGTATCTATATATTTTTTTTCAACATGTACAATCTAATATATAAAATAAAACATATACAAAATATACGTATGCATGTGTTTGTCTATACACACATTATATACTTATGTTTACATAAATGTGTGTGTTTTTGTTTGTGTTTTTCAACACATTTCTAATCATAATAGTGTTAATAACTCATCTCTAATAAGTGATTTATTTTATCTTCGTCATGATGACAGCACATAATACTAGACTAGATTATCTTCAAGACACTTCTATACAGCTTAAAGTGACATTTAAAGGGTTCACTAGGGTAATTAGGGTAAAGTTAGGGTAATTAGGGTAATCAGTGGTTTGTTCTGGAAAAAATCCAACACAAATATTGTTGAAGGGAGCTAATAATATTGACCTTAAAATGGCTTTTAAACTACTTTTATTCTAGCTAAAATAAAACAAATACGACTTTCTCCAGAAGAAAAAAAGATTAGAGGAAATACTGTGAAAAATGTAGTAATAAGTCATATATAAAAGAAAAAATAGTGCACAGGAGGCTGGATCATATTACCTTTAACTCTACAGTGAAAAAAATATTTTTGCTGCAGGTTAAAAATCCTTATTTAAAATGAGCTGAATCAACACAAGGGAAGAAAAATGTATTGTTTATGTTTCATCTACTTAAATTTGTAAAAGTTAACTTAAGTTAACTTAATGGCTTTGTGTTGGGCCAACATGAAGGACTTGTGTGGAACTCAGCATTTATTTCAGCGTATATATACAAACAAAACTATATTTTCCTTATCCGAACAGGGCTCTAGTAGTGTAGTTATTTGCAGCATTATATCAGTGGTTTATCTGATATCGCAAGAGTCAGCGGGTTCAACATGAAATGAAGTGAAGAATCACGACTCTCAACAACCTGCTGCGGTACACTTCAGCCAGAAATAGCCTCCATGACTGTTTACAGTGTTTACCGCAGTGTTTCATGCAAAAATCAGCAGCAGATTCAGATGACAGATGTGCAGAGAAAGCAGGAGCATATGAATGAATTGTCACGTCTTATACTGTCATCCATTAACCATTCAGTCATCTATTATTCTTATTCTGTTGAGTATTTACATATCAGTGCAGGGACTGCAGCTGAAAAACAGGCTTTTGACTGATCCTAGTTCATTTTTTGTATTATTAATGTGCACTGTGCAAGTTAAATGAACCTAAACCTAAAATAAAAAATATTAATAATTTAGTTTTTATTATTGCAATTTGTACAGCAATGAACATGAATGGATAATAGCAGGAGAGGACAATCATAAAATAAAAGACAATATTTATTATCATTTTATTTATCTATTTTTTCTTTTTCATTTTATTATGGTAGTTATTTACCTTGTATGTTCATTGTTATACTAATTCCAACAAAAATATTAACTAACTAACTTACAAACTAACAAACTAAATAAACAAATAAAGAAATAAATGATTGAAAGTAGGAGCATTTCAATAATACATATGTCAATTTAACAAATCATACCTTAACATAATCATATCATCAGTGCAGGGACGGATGAAAATAGCCTTTTTTTTGTATTATTAATGTGTGTTGTGCATGTTTAATAAACCTGACAATAAATTAATAAACAAACAAACAAAAACAAATAAAATAAAATGCATTCATTGTGTTATTGTACTATGTTAATTCTGTTATGGACCTTGTATGTTCATTGTTATTCAAATTGCAATAAAAGAACAAAGAAAGAAAGAAAAAAAATAAAGAAATGAATAAATAAATATAAACAAACAAACAAACAAACAAATAAATGAATAAATAAGGAAATAAACAAATAAAGAAGTGAATAAATGACTATAATTATAAATAAATAAATAAAATAAAAAAAAAATAAATAAATAAATAAAACAAATAAAACAAATAAATAAATAAAAAGCAGGCAGGAGCATTTTAATACAAGCTTGTATGTTCATTGGTATTTAAATTGCAATAACAGATCAAATAAATGATTAAAGAATTAAATAAATGTATTATTATATTTTGTTTCTCATTGTATTATTGTGCTCCTGTTATGGCCCTTGTATGCTCATTGTTATTAAAATGCAATAAAAGAACAAATACATACATGAATAAATATATAAAGAAAGAAACAAATAAATAAATAAATAAATAAACAAACAAATAAACAAATAAATGAAAAAATAAATGAATAAATGAATGTATTTATTTATTTATATATAAATATATATATATATATATATATATATATATAAATATATATATATATATATATATATATATATAAATAAATATATATATATATATATATATATATAAATATATAATATATAAATATATATATATATATATATATATATATATATAAATATATTATATATATATATATAAATATATATATATATATATATATATATATATATATATATATATATATATATTATATATATATGAATAACTTAATAAATAAACAAACAAAACAAATAAATAAATAAATAAAAAGCAAGCAGGAGCACTTCAATAACACAAGCTTGTATGTTCATTGGTATTCAAATTGCAATAACAGAACAAATAACAGAATAAATAATAAAAAAGAAAAATCTTTTTTCCTTATATTATTGTGCTCTTCTGTTATTGCCCTTGTACAGTATGTTAATTGTTGTTCAAATTGCAATATAATAACAATCAAACAAATAAGTAAATAAACAAAAGCAGGAGCACTTCAATAACACAAGCTGATCAACACATCAGTGCAGGGACTGCAGATGAAAAATAGGCTTTTAACACATTATTACAGCTTTTCTCAGTGGCTTTGGTGCGTTTCTCAAAACACTGTTTACATTTGCACAACAGATCATGCATTTCTCAAAACAGTTAGTACAAACTGCAAAACCTAGATAACCTGCAAGTGTGTCACATGCTCAAAATGGAGAGCTTGATCCTCAAAAACAAGCATTGATGTCAATGAAAGTGTCAGTGTCATCAAGATGAAGAGTCCTGACACCACTGTTTATGAACAAGATAGTCAAATGGCTTTGTCATGTTTTCATCATGTCATCAGTTTACTCTACGTTATTTCCAATGCAAACAAGTCAGATTTTGGTGACACGTCCTGAAAATGCTCAAGACAGCACTGTATACTATCTGCACAGCCATTTGAACACTACAGTAAAGTTAGACATCACTGCATTTAGTGAGGTATCCGAGTACAACACACTGAATGTGTATGTTTCACATGTTTACAGCATTTGCTCTTAGCAATTCCAATTTATTCAAAGCATTCAGTATGTCATCGTCCGTCGCCGATGGCCAATAGACCACATGATGCTGAGCCGGCATTGCCAATCCTCCACCCCGCCCCCCTCACGAAAAAAACCAACACTCAGGCCCCGTTTACACTAATACGTCTCAGTATTAAAATGGCATTTTAGAATGAAAATGATCCACATCCACACCGTGTTTTACCTAGCATTACTGAACAGCCCTCCGTACGCTGAAAATGCACATCACGTGACCACATATGCACAGCCACACACACAGTAATGCGCTCATCTGAGCGCCAGAGAGCAGTGTACGTCGGACAGTTGATCAAGGATGTACCGCTGGATGGCGTCTCACTATAGTTATTAAACGTGATCTTTAATTCATCTGACGACTCTTCAGCCTTTTGAATCTATCAGTTAACGTGTCACAGCATCACTACACTGCTTCAGGCTTTCAATTTCACGCTTGTACTTAGTCATTTTTCTGAAAACCTCAGATACTGTTGGCTGGTTGCTGTCGTTTGTGCACTTTTTTTATCAGCCAAGCTTGTGGACGCCATTATACCGACACAGATCACTCTGCCTGCGGACACAGTGATTGACAGGTGGTCATTTGTGTGTAGCTTATCTTTATTTATTTATGATTTGCGTATGGGTAAAACAAAGACCATGCGGGTCAGGTAGTTTAAACGGTAGGCTACAAAAAAATTATTGGCTATGAATTAATGAATTATTCAGAAATAATTAATTCACCACCACCTACGATGACATCGTCCATCGCCATGTTTCACATTAGACATCGTACTATGAAAAACTGGTCGACATCGCCCAACCCTGGTTGGAAGGAATGAGAAACTGCTACTATGATGTGCACAAATGTAAATAGTGTTGTGAGAAAAAGCCAAAGCCACTGAGAAGAACTGGAATATGTATTGTGCCTGTTAAATAAAACTGAAAGTAAATAAACGTTTTCTCATTCTTTTGTTATTGCCCTTGTATGTTCGTCGTTATACAATTTGCAATACAAAATAAATATAAATAAAAGCAGAAGCGCTCCAATAACACAAGCTGATCATTACTAACCTTAACAGTGTCAAACGGATGACCCACCAGCACCCCAGCAGCACCTGCACACAAACAAGGAGATCACCATTTAACATACAAATAAAATTAAATAGTTTAGAATTTCACTCATTTTCAAAACATAAAACAATAAATGCAAATATAGATTCAATTCATATACAGTACATTTAAATAGTACTGTACAACAAATAGTTAAAAAAAAAGACTTGTGTGAATTAAAATTAAAACAAAAAATATTTAATAATTTAATCTAATTTAACTGTCTGTTTTAGTTCAAACCTAAAATACTGAACTACAGCAAAAACAGTTTAAAGATTTATTTTCACGGGCGTCATGGTGGCGCAGTGGGCAGCATGATTGCCTCACGGCAAGAAGGTAGGCATTTCTGTGTGGAGTTTGCATGTTCTCCCCGTGTTGGCTTGGGTTTCCTCTAGTTTCCTCCACAGTCCAACGACAGGAGCTAAAGGTGAATTGGGTAAGCTAAACTGTCCATAGTGTTTGTGTTTGAATGAGAGTGGAAGGGCATCCGCTGTGTAAAACATATGCTGGATGAGTTGGCGGTTCATTCCTCTGTGGCGACCCCAGATTAATAAAGGCACTAAGCCGAAAAGAAAATGAACGAATATTTTCCTGACATTTTTATATATCAGATATAATTAAATATTTATAATTAATTATTTTTCTTTTTTTTCAGTTTATTGCTGTACTAAACTAAAAACAAACTTTATATGACCAATTTAAAATGTTTGTTATAAGATTGCAATTAGTAAAAAAAAAGACTAAAATTAGAATCAATTTAAATTACAACAGAAAATATCAAAAGAATTTAAACTAGTGTGTGTGTGTGTGTGTGTGTGTGTGTGTGTGTGTGTGTGTGTGTGTGTGTGTGTGTTTTTGTGACATATCAGGACACAAATCTGTATAAGACATGGGTATGACACAAGTTTTACAAAAAAGAGGTGAAATATGAGGACATTGGTGGCGTTCTCATTTCTCAAAATGCTTGGAAATCCCACAGGATGAGTTTAATCAGAGAGTAAAGCTGCACACAGTCTCCTGTGATGGTTGGGTTTAGGGGTGGGGTGAGGTAAGGGCAATACAATTTACTGTTTTGACAGTATAAAATGAATGGAAACATGTAATGTACCCACTTTTCACAAAAACAAACGTGTGTGTGTGTGTGTGTGTGTGTGTGTGTGTGTGTGTGTGTGTGTGTGTGTGTGTGTGTGTGTGTGTGTGTGTGTGTGTGTGTGTGTAAAATTGTCTTTTATACATTTTTATTTGCTATGTTGTATTTCAGTCACAAGATCCTCAAAGAAAATAGAACATTTTTATCCGATTAATTAATCAACTACAGTGATAGATGAATCGATTATTAAAACACACCAGCAGTATTTCTATCATTTCTATAATGATCACTGGGTTTGAGTCATAATAACAGAGTCTGTTTGGATCATTTAGAGATGCAGATGAATCTGTCATGAGCTTTCCATTCCTCAAATGATCTCAGTTTCTGACTGATATTAGGTTACATTTACATAACATTACATTACAGCAGAGAGTGAAGGCGTGGGTCAGACGGACCAATCAAAACAGCAGTCAACAGGTTTGCAGAACGATGACGAAGATGTTGCGCAAACACACACACAGCAAAAGAGAGATCTACACTATATATATATATATATATTCACAACAGTCTGACTGACTGAGTGTTCGTTCACCTGTTTTATTATCTTCATCAGTCAGCCATGTCCAACTGTTAATCAATTCAGCAATCTGTAATTGTTTGTGAAAAATATTTTTAAAATATTATCATTCATTCATTCATTTGTCTTAGTCTCTTATTTTTTGCGGTCACCACAGCGGAATGAACCACTAACTATTCCAGCATATATTTTAGGCATATGCCCTTCCAGCTGCAACCCTGTACTGGAAAACACACTTATTCACACTCATACACTACGGCCAATTTAGTTTATCAATTCCCCTATAGTGCTTGTGGATTTGTGGGGGAAACCGGAGTACCCGGAGGAAACCCACACCAACATGTGGAGAACATGCAAACTCCACACAGAAACGCCAACTGGCCCAGCTCAGACTCGAACCAGCAACCTTCTTGCTGTGAGGCGACAGTGCTAACCAATATGCCACAAAAATAATCATTTATTCATTTATTCTTTTTTCAGCTTAATCCCTTTATTCCTCAGGGGTCGCCACAGTGGAATGAACCGCCAACTTATCCAGAATATGTTTATCGCAACGGATGCTCATCTCGCTGCAACCCATCACTGGGAAACACCCACACACTACGGACAATTTAGCTTGCTTACTTTCCCTATAGCGTATGAGTTTGGACTGTGGGGGAAACCGGAGCCCCCGAAGGAATTCCACACCAATAAGAGAAGAACATGCAAACTCCACACAAACAACATGCAAACCCCACACGAAAATTATAACTGACCCAGCCAAGGCTTGAACCAGCGAGCTTATTGCTGTAACCACTGCGCCACCATAACACCCATGCCACAGAAATATTATAATTTAATAATATTATTAAATAAATAAAATATGAATAAATAAATAAATGAATGAAGCTTTAAAAAAAAAAAAACATGTCCCTTGTAGCCGTCTGAAATAAAATGACAATAAAAGTGTTTACGTTTAGGAACTACTGTAGCATTACTAAAAAGTAGTTCTGTCAAACAATTCCAAAATATCCAAAATATAACTTTGCATTTACATGTTTGTTTGTAAATATGTTTATTATATTATTATATACTGTGCATAATTATGTATGTATTTAAAATACAAATAAATAAATAAATTACACATAAATAAGTAAATGCAAATAAATAAATAAAAATTCTAAGTATATAACTTACAAACAAACAAAATACAAGTATGAAAATTAATAATATGAAAGTGGTAAAATACAAATAAACAAATCAATTAATAATAAACTTAATAAATAAATAAATAAATAAGTAAAATAATAAAGTACATAAATTGACTATATAAATAAATAAAATACAAATGTATTATTATAAACAAATATTCTGTTCCAGATCTTCCCTTATATCTTTAAATATAAAATTACATATCCATCCATTCATTCATTTTCTTTTTTTGCTTAGTCCCTTTATTAATCGGGGGTCGCCACAGTGGAATGAACCGTCATCTTATCCATCATATGTTTCATGTAGTGGATCCCCTTCCAGCTGCAAAACATCACTGGGAAACATCCATACAAAAAAAATAAATTAATTAAAAAAAAATAAATAAATAAAAATTATATAAATATATATATATATATATATATATATATATATATATATATATATATATATATATATATATATATTTTTTTTTTTTTTTTTTTTTTTTTTTTTTACGGTATATTCCTCATTTTAAGCTGTTATCAATTATTTATTTTTTTATTAAGATTAAATGTGCTCCAGTCTGATCCTTCATTGTCCTGTTAAACAGTGGCTCATAACGACTCCAGCGATTCAACATTCATGAAGCACATTGTGTTCAAGCCTGTGAAATGAAACTGAATCCAGCAGAGTGTGTCCCAGTCCAGACGCTGTGATTGGCTCCTGCAGGGGTGTGTGAGTACGTGTGTACCTCACTGGTTTTTAGAGGACAGTTCGGAAGGAGTTATTCTGGGCTCTTCCCGGAAACACATTTCATAGCAGCTTCAACACGGCTGATATTTACATGTGAGAACAGGAGAACTCATCAGAAAGAAGTTGGGATGATGTCTAAAAAGTGGCTTAAAGGGGAGCTTTTGTGCAAAAATGACCTTTATAAGGTAAGTCGTGTGTCAGCAGTGTGTGAATATCCCCAGCAGCCTCTGATGCTTAACATGAACTAATTGTGTTTGTTATAATCAGACTTGATGAATGAAACGCTTATAGTGACATTCTCCCTTTGTGTGTCATCAGAGGGGGAAAGCCCCGCCCACTAGAGCCAATCTCTCCCTCATTAGCATAAACAGCAGCCCTGAGTAAGAAGCAGCCGTCTGTCCATTAGCCATTAGATTGTCAGCACTGCTGAAGATAACGTCAGCATGCGAGTGTGTATGAGTGTTTCCCAGTAATGGGTTGCAGCTGAAAGGGCATCCGCTGTTTAAAACATATTGTGGAATAGTTGGCGGTTCATTCCGCTGTAGTGACCCCTGATATATAAGGGACTAAGCCGAAAGACAATGACTGAATAAATAAACTCTAATCACTGACTTCCTTAAATATTGGTTACTCTTACCTTAATTACATGTGCCTACCAGTCTTACATCACACGTTGTAAATGTCAATGGCACATAAGGTGCATTTGACAGTCACCAAAGGTAAGTGATTGGAGTTTATAATTAAAAACGAGAAATATTTCTGTTACTAAAACACATGGTTCTGCTTCATAAGACTCGCATTAACCACCTGTCGGCAGTGGTCAGGGAACAACTCACTCACACACAAACACACACCTCTCATAGGATGCTACTGTACAGACTGTATATTAGAGCTGCACAAATAACCGTATAAAGGTCGCAATCTCGATTCGACCCCTTAGACGATCTTAATCCAGCATTTCTACAATTCTGTCAATCATATTTTCAAGTTCAGGAAAGAAGCAATGCTGGCCGCACAAGTCTTCACATTGTTTTACATACGTTGTTTAGCAATGTGGACACCTCCAAATGGTGTTGAAAGAGTCGCATGCTGTGTTTATAAAATATAAAATAACAAAAAACAAAGCCTATTGCTGTTTTACCATGTTTAAGAACAACAATATTATAGCTCACTCATATTAACCTTTATTTTACATCTACAGAATCCTGAGAAAATCCTGATCTTTTTAAATTGCGGTTCTCATTTTAGCCAGAATCGTGCAGCTCTACTGTATATAAATACAAATATATACACACACACACACACACACACACACACATATATATACACACATATACACACACACACACACACACACACACACACACACACATATATATATATACACACACACACACACACACACACACACACACACACACACCTCATGGCTCATAGGTAGGCCCACACGGAATTCCGCAGATTTTAAGCCCATCAATAATTCTGTTTATTTAGTTGAGTAAATGTGTGTAAATCTATATTTATTCAGCTTTTAAATTACTTCCAGTCATATTATTGACTAATATGAAAATGTTCATCTGATTTATGTACAATGCAGTTTGTACAGTAATAATAATAATTAATAATAATAATTCCCTACATGTATATATATTGCTTTTCTGGGCACTCAAAGCGCTTTACACAATGAGGGGGAATCTCCTCATCCACCACCAGTGTGCAGCATCCACCTGGATGACAGCCAGACCGCACACCACACACCAGCTGATTGGTGGAGAGGAGACAGAGTGATGAAGCCAATAATGATATGGGGATGGTTAGGAGGCCATGATGGACCAAGGCCAATGGGCAAATTTGGCCAGGATGACGGGGTGAAATCACGACTCTTTTTCGAAGGACATCCTGGGATTTTTAACAACCACAGAGAGTCAGGACCTCGGTATAACGTCTCCTGCGAAAGACGGCGCTCACTGAGCATTATAGAGGCCGCTTTACTAAACTGGGGCATAAGGACCCACACAGACCGCAGGTTTGGTGCCCCCTGCTGGCCTCACTAACACCACTTCCAACAGCAACATAGCTTTCCCATGTGGTCTCCCATCCAGGTACTGACCAGGCGCAGCCCTGCTTAGCTTCAGTGGGCGACCATGTGAGAGTTGCAGAGAGCTAGCTGCCGGCTAATATTTTCTGTCTTTTAGTAGAGATATTATATGAGAGACTTGCTTTGCTTACCAAATAATGAATCTAATTGGATTTGCATTTTAAACATTAAATACATGTTTTTATTTCACATATTAAGGTTTTAGCTATGATACTACCAAAATAATACTGCAGAAATTTGCAGATTTTTACCAAAATTCTCAGCAGAAATAGCAAATAATGTTTGCAGATTCCGTCTGACCCTATAGGACGCTACTGTACAGACTGTATAATCTCTCCCTCCGCTCCTAAAACCAACCCTCACCAGAAAAAATCTGCATTTTTACATTTTCAAAATACGCCATTCTTTCTGATTTGTTTACACAAGTCGCCATGAATTTGTGCGTCGCACACACACACACAACCACAAGATACAGATCTGAAGCCAATCAAAAGCTGACTGCTTCAATTGATGATGATCTGTAATTGGCTTTTATACATTTTTACTGCCATGTTGTATTTCAGTCACAAGATCCCCAAAAGAAAATGGAAAGTTTAAAAAAGGAGAAAAGAAAGTTTGAGAAGGGAAATTTATCAGATTAATCAATCAAGTCCAGTGGTAGATTAAAGGATTATTAAAATAATCAATAGCTGCAGCCCTTAAAAACAGCCCAAGTCAGTAATGCTATTATAGGACGATAACCGTTTTCAAGGTATACCGCGTTTTGGAAACGTCAAGGTTTTAAAACCGACAAATTTTTCTGTAATACCGTTCCTAAGGCGCGAGTAAGGTTTTTATTTACGTTTTTACAACAACAGTATCTCCCTTTTTAAATTGTGAAGAAATCAGTTTTTGAAACTAATGAAGACAGCAGAAGTCAGTGATTCAATTAGCCTGACATGTTTACTGATCCAAAATATATCGTATTTAAAAGGGAAAAAGTTTTTGTTTTTCACCCAGACATTTAAATAGAACATATATAAGAGCAGTAATCACAATACCGTGAAACCCTGATATTTTTATCTAAGGTTATCATACCGTCAGAATCTTATACTGACCCATGCCTAGTTGCTACAATGTTCAATCTTTATCACAAAGTAATAATAACAGATTCAGACCTGAAGATAATCAAAAGCTGAATCTTCACCTGCATCATTTAATGATTAATACATAAATAAACAAGACCAGTTATGACTACAGTAGCACCACAATACAATTTACAATAAACAATGTGGTTTACATATAATTAGTACAATTAAACTTTAGCGATGGGTTTGTCTATACTTTATCCAACATTAGCCTACAACAACCCACTGGGGTGTTATTGCAACCCAGCATTGAGTCAAATGTGGATTTTCATTCATTCATTCATTTTCTTTTCAGCTTAGTCTCTTTATTAATCTGCGGTCGCCACAGCAGAATGAACCTCCAACTTATCCAGCATATGTTTCACGCAGTGTATGCCCTTTAAGCTGCAACCCATCACTGGGAAACATCCATGCACACTTGTTCACACACATTCACTACATGTAATTTAGCTTACCCAATTCACCTGTACCGCATGTCTTTGGACCTGTGGGGAAACTTGGAGCACCCAGGGGAAACCCACGCCAACACAGGAGGAACATGCAAACTCCACACAGAGATGCCAACTGACCCAGCCGGGGCTAGAACCAGCAACCTTCTTGCTGTGAGGCAAATGTACTACCCACTGGGCCACTGTGCAGCCCACATGGATTTTCTATTCAATCTAAATGACACTTTTTAGACACAGCGGTAGGATCTGTCCATAATAAATCCAAATTTAAGTTATAAAAGCCCAGCAACTATTTCAAAATCGACTTTATACACATGCATGATTACACACTATATACTATTAGACCCAATGGTAAGTTACCATGAATGATGAATAAATAAATAAATAAGGCTAGTTATGACTACAGTAGCACCACGATACAATTTACAATAAACATTCACTAAATAAAATTAAAAACTCTCCCATATTAGAGAAAAATACTGCACAAAACCTGCCACACACGCTTAATCCATTCAACGCCAAACAGCTTTTAGAATCGGCTCAACTGTTTCTGGCGCCGAATGATACATTGTAACGAATTTTAGAACGTCACGATCAATCAGCAACAATGTGTCAACCAATCAGTTACAATGTAGCATTCTATTGTAGAATTCCATCACGTCACAACAACAGCAAAAAGAATACAACAGATGAAGGCTGCATTCACACAACCAACAGGTAAATAAAGAAAAAACACTACAGACAGACAGTACAGACAAATGATAGAGGTAAAGTTGGTTTTATATTCGCACATTCAGACTTTCCCCTTAATAATATAATTTCATGAAAAGTATTATTTGCAAACTCTAAACAGTGAAATCATATTAGCAACCAATGACAACATTGTCCCCATTAAAATAAACAGTGTTAATGTTGTTTTCAAGTCACATTTGCATGCTAATTCCAATCGAATATTCAAAGTAACATGGTAAACAATATAGAGACCTCTAAATGAACAAATGTGTGAATATAAAACCAACTTTACCTCTATAGACAAATGATCAACCCTTAACAGTTGAGTTAATATTGTGATTTTAATTTAATTATTACAATAAAACTCTAGCAAAAGGTTTGTCCATATTTCACCCAACGTTAGCTTACAACAACCCAGCCTTTTTCAGAATGTATCGATAAGACAGATGGAGGTATAGACTGATACTGACTTCATATTTACAGTCAAGAGAATCAATAAATAAACCTGCTCTCCATCACGTGTCCTGCGTGACGTGGCTTCCTGCTCCACTACAAATAATTCAGCATGTGTGAATCCGATAAAACGTGTGTGAATTACACAACTTTAAAAAACAACAACTCTGGAGTGTTGTAACCCAGCATTGGGTTTTTTCTTCAATCTAAATGACACTTTTTTTAACACCACAGAAGGATGTGTCCATATTAAACCCAACGTTAAGTTATAAAAAAAAACAGCAACTATTTCAAAATCGCCTTTATACACATGCATGATTATAAACTATACGCGTGACCAGACATAAACATGTATAGGATCTGTCCATATTAGACCCAGCGTTTAGTTACAAAACCCAGCATTTGTTTAATAAATTGAAAGAAACTTGCTAATCGACTTTATGATTACACACTACGCGCGTGACCCCGAATGTAAATATACAGACTGTACGTGTGTTAACAGGCTTAACTAGCAGTGCTAATCTACAGTTCAACACCCAGCAGACGTGACTGAGAACTGGTCAGAAAGATGAACCGACCTCCTATGCATCCAGCCAGAAAGTCCATCCCCGCGTCAAGGACTGATTCGGGATCAGTCGAGCTGCTTAATCTGAGTTTATTTCCACAGGCCTGTCCGGTGAGCTGCTGGTGGTTAGTGTAATGTTGGTGCTGCGGTAACTCTGCGCTCACTGAAACTCACTAATCGGCAGTGGAAAATTTCAGCTAGTAGCTCGACTAGCACCTGCTGCTGGCTGGTGTGTATGTATGTATCTTATGTGTGTGTGTGTGTGTTTGATGGGTGTCGGGAGAGGTGTGTGTGCGCACGCCCAATCCAGAGCCGCGGATTTAAAAAGATTCCTGTTCCTCCTATTCGGCGTCACGCGCATGCGCGCTGTGTTCCGCGTTCGCGCTTTGCTGGATTCGGTTGTTAAAGGGCCAGTTCACCCCAAAAAAACGAAATGTGCTCATCATTTAATTTAACACTATTGTGGATTTATGGATCAAAAATTGTATATATATATATATATATATATATATATATATATATATATATATATATATATATATATATATATATATATATATATATATATAAATTATATTATATATGAAAATTTTATTTATATATATATATATATATATATATATATATATATAATTTTCATATATAATATAATTTATATATTTTTTTTTTTACTATTTTCATATTTTTATGAAGACTGTACACAATTAGGGTACAACGGTTGTCCTTTGGGTCAGTTTTTACCTGGCAGCTATAAAAACTATTTGTAATAATAACTATTTGTACACCTCAAAAACTACTGACACTCACATCAAAATACACAATAATAATCCGCTGCTTTAACTTTCATGAATACTGTCTTGCTACAAACTTTATACGCTTCTTCGAGTACTTTTAGCAAATTAGCATATTTAAATCCCCCCTTTACTGAAGTGAGAATCGAGTGCTGTCCACTGAGGGCCCTTTTCCACTGAGTGGTACAGTACGGTACGGGTCACCTTTATCAGGCTTGTGTTTCCACTGCTAAAAGGGTACCAATGGTGCTCTTTTGGTGGACGTGGTGTACGACAGAAAGTTTCAGTCAATGTAATTTTTGCACAAGAAAATGCTGTACATTCACATATGATAGAAGCACTTTTCACAAAACAGATGCTGTATACACATAAATACAAGTGTATAAATGTTTATTACTTACTTTTCCATGAACATAATTACAATATAACTGCAGATCAATGACAGTGCGAAACACAAGTGGTGCTCACTGCAGAGCCATTTGAGGAGAGCTGAGCTCCAGCGAGGGGGAGCTTAAGCTTGAGCTCCACCTTTTTTGCACTTCTTCTACGAGTGATGTCACTGGGGGTAGGGTTTGGGGTGGGGTTGGTGTACGCATTAAAACAGCTTACAGGAGGAGGAGCGACAGCTCATGCTCCCCCTCGCTGGAGCTCAGCTCTCCTCAAATGGCTCTGCAGCGAGCACCCTCTCGCGAAACAGCCTACTGTAACATCTGCGATTGTATAAAATAAATAAATAAATGAACATATATGAACACATACAGACCCTTACAGTCTCCGATATGCTACCAACTACAGAAGAACTACACACAGCAGACATTTAGAGCTTATTTAGGTTTAAAAACAACAGGAAATATAGCCCACTGTCAGAGCAAACCTCTAATCTGTGACTGTGTCTGTAATGTTCAGCAGCACATGTAGCCTCTTGTTAGAAAGTAACTCCATCATTCTAAGTTCATAATAGTCCAGAAGGTGATGATAAGAGTTAAACATGGCAGTTTGTTCATCTTTCAGGTTGCAGACGCGTCATTTGCTGCTGTTTTTTCCGGCTTCTCCTTTGTTTTTTCGCGCTTCACTCTCGCGTTTGTTTCTTTCTGACAGGATCGAATATCAATGCACCTTAATGATCATGCACACGTTATTAATATGACCTTAAAACGTTTGTTATTTTAGATATAGGCGTGCGGCAAGCTCTCTGGAGAAAGTGAAACCGCACTTGCACTTTTAGACGGGTTTGTAAAACAACAACAGGACATGGCAGATTTTGTTCTTCTTGGCTTTGTGGCTGTTCATCAAGACAGCGACAAGGTTTGTTTGAGCTCAGGTCGACCATGGCTTGTTATTATATGTATATATTATTACAGTGTAATGTCTCGGCTGTGTATTTAAAACATTGCGGTTCCTTTGTTTTCATTCTAACTTTTTGTTTGAGCGAATGACGTATCTCTGTAAACCAATAGCGTTCAGCTGCGCGTCTAGCTCCACATTTTGATAACCTTGACCAAAAAGTGTCACGGTACAGTTCGGTTCGGTACGCCTTTTGACAGTGGAAACAGCCATAAAAGTGTACCGAACCAGACCAGGAAACGTGCCATGAGTGAACACATCTCAAGAATAAAAAAAGAACAGTTTTTAAATAAATTGCAATAAAATAAAAGTAATAAAGGGGCTTTGAAAATTGAATTAGCTTATAAAAGTCCAGAAAAGAAATAAGCTTAACGCCCCATTCACATGGGGCTTCAGCGTCAATGCTTGACTGAAGGCGTGTCTGAAGTCGGGGCTGAAGCGATCGTCATAGCAGCATCAGCCAATGAAATTCAGCCAGCAAGAGGCCACTGTCTAGCTGGTGTATTTGCATACAGCGATCTGATTGGTTGATGCTTCCGTCGGCGCTTGAACAGTTGAGCTAGTCCCAACTTCTGCAGCGAGCAACGACTCTGAAGCGGCGCCCACGGATCCACAATGCAGTTTGGCAACGCCCGACGTCATCCATTCAAAGTGAATGGGAAGCATTGACGCTGACGCCCCATGTGAATGGGACGTAAGGGCTTTTTTAATCATTCGCCAGTTTTACAGGTTTGCAAAGAAGTTTTACCTCATTCAACCGCTGATTGAAGGAGTAGATTTGAACCATCTGTATTTGTGAATAACTCATTTTCCCAAACAAAATAGAACATTAACAGCAAATTGAAACTCTTTGTTTTCAAGGAAGATACCAAACTTGTCTTTAAATGAGGGGAGGGAAATGTATATTCCTGGACCATAACCACGTCTGTACCTCAGACCAGAAGGGAATACAGACTTTCCTTTAGTCTACCATTCAGTGTTTTACTTCCTGCCCTCAGAACCATGTTATTGAAAACAACCAATACAAAATTATGACAACACAGAGATTAATCTCCCTCAAGCGGTTCTGAACATTTACGAGTTTTTATTCTGTTAAAACACTTCAGAAGGTATTTCATCAAATGTGAAAATGTGTAACCATTGACTTCCAAAGTAAAAAGAAATATTATTAAAGTCAATGGTTTCTAGCTTTCTTCAAAGCATCTTCTTTTGTGTTTAACAGAAGAAAGACAATCATAAAGGTCTGGGACAAGTGAATGTTCCATAAATTAATTTTTGGGTGAACTACCCCTTTAATATTCAAAAGCGTGTTGGACGTATCTCAGGATTGCCATAGGTTGGTGTTTAATATTCAGCGGCCACCCAAGTGATACGACGTTCATCTAATTAATATTCATGAGTACGCCTTCGATGTATCATAAGAGTTCGAGTCATTGTAAGTAATCGATTCGATCGGATGGTTCATTGATTCATTAGTTTTTACTGAGTAAAATGTTCTGTTTAGTTTAATAAATGCCGTGTTTAAACGTGTTGCTGTTGTTGTGTTTTAGATCAGACCTATCAGCGCTTCCCTAAGGGATTCGCGAACGCTTGGTGAATCGGTTGAACCGAATCTTTGGATTCGTAACTCCTGTTCCGCGTTGCATCAGCGTGTTTCTGCTGTCTGCTCGTCAATGGTGCGGTGTGCGTGGGTGATCAACAATAAATCTACCAAATCATTAAAATAGTAAATCCGCAATAACACAACGCACTCTAAATAATCACCTGACATGATTATAAATGCATAAAAACACTATTTATAGATTGCAGATTTGGTTGAAAACACTTGTTATGATGTATTAAATTGTGATCCATAAAAGTGAATGTTTTCGCACGCAAAAATGAAAGTGTGTGCATGAGCTGTCCTGTCAAAGAGCCACGTGAGGATCAAGGACAGTTACAAAAGCACAAGTCTGCGCAGATCAACAACACGAGCTACACCGCAGATCCACTGAAGATTATACACGCTTATATACAACACATCAACAGCAATGATGGATCTATAGGCATGCGGAATCAAGCAGCTGGACGATGCATTTCGCAGATTTCCTTGCGGGATCTTTTGGAGGTATGATTAGTTTTTTGCTCGTCAGCTAATCTAGTTAAATAAGTGGTGATGATTTGACGGAAGAGCTGCAGTATAGGGGAGAGTTGCAACAAGACTTAATCCTCCATTGATGTTCAGTGAGCTAGAGTGAGTGATGATATTTATACTACATGTTCTCTGTTAAACCCGTCCTTCAGCTAATTTTAAAGTAAAAATAATTATTAATTTGTTAATGTTCAAATATTTCCCATACTAATGATTAAAAAAATGCGTCGCCACAATAAAACTTTCTCTGAGAAACTGAAGGAAATGCAGAAAGTGTTGCATCTGTCCCCTACTGTATCTTGAGAGGGTTTGTGTTTGTTTTGACACTGGGCTGAAGTGGGTTGTTTATTGCTCATGCACTCTAAACAGTGTGTACGATGCTGCATGTGGCACAGTTTATTTCGCATGCAAGCAACTATAAAAGAATAGCTAACAAGCAACATAGGTAAACAAAAATATTTAAAGAGACAGTTCACCCTAAAATGAAAATACTGTCATCATTTACTCATTTGTTCCAAACCTGTTTGTTCAGTTCTTCTATATGGACACTGCAAAAATGCTTTTCTCACAAGAGTTTTTGTTTTGTGTCTAATTAAAATCATTACTAGACAAATTAAACATCACTGTCTTGTTTTCATAAATAAAACATCAGAATTGTGTGAGTCTATTAGAACAAGCAAAATAATCTGCCAATGCGGTAAACAAAATGAACATACTTCAAAATGAAAACGAGATTATTTTGCTTATCCCATTGGCAGATTATTTAGCTTGTTTTAAAGAAAAACTCACCAAATTTTGACTCTTTACTTTTAAAAACAAGACTATGTGTTCTGCTTGTCTAAAAAATGTTTCTTGATTTAAGAATGTTTAGATGTTTGGAAACAAGACAAAAAACTCTAAGTAAACCTTTTTTTTTCGCAGTAGATGCCAATGTTTTATTTTCAATATCTTGTTCTGTGTTCAACAGAAAAAAAAAATCATTAAAGTTTACAACCAATAAATGCAAGTAAATGTGAATACATGTATTTGGGTGAACTTTCTTATAATGGTTGAAAAGTCTTATAATGCATAATGGGTGATCGGGGAAAAATATAACTAAGTCAAATAAAATATATTAATCCAAATAATCAAAACCAAATAATCAATCAATCAATCAATCAACAATCAATCAATCAATCAATCAATCTTTCTATCTGTCTGTCTGTCTGTCTGTCTATCTATCTATTTATCATCTGTCTGTCTATCTATCCATCCATCCATCCATCCATCTATCATCTGTCTGTCTGTCTGTCCGTCCGTCCGTCCGTTCGTCTGTCCGTCTATCTATCTATCTATCTATCTATCTATCTATCTATCTATCTATCTATCTATCTATCTATCTATCTATCTATCTATCTATCTATCTATCTATCTATCTATCTATCTATCGGTCTTTCTGTCTGTCTGTCTGTCTGTCTGTCTTTCTGTCTGTCTATCTATCTATTTATCATCTGTCTGTCTGTCTGTCTATCCATCCATCCATCCATCCATCAATCCATCCATCCATCCATCCATCCATCCATCATCTGTCTGTCTGTCTGTCTGTCTGTCTGTCTGTCTGTCTGTCTATCTATCTATCTATCTATCTATTTATCTATCTATCTATCTGTCTTTCTGTCTGTCTGTCTATTTATCATCTGTCTGTCTATCTATCCATCCATCCATCCATCCATCATCTGTCTGTCTGTCTGTCTGTCTGTCTGTCTGTCTATCGGTCTTTCTGTCTGTCTGTCTGTCTGTCTGTCTGTCTGTCTATCTATCTATCTATCGGTCTGTCTGTCTGTCTGTCTGTCTGTCTGTCTGTCTGTCTGTCTGTCTGTCTGTCTGTCTATCTATCTATCGGTCTTTCTGTCTGTCTGTCTGTCTGTCTGTCTGTCTATCTATCTATCTATCTATCGGTCTGTCTGTCTGTCTGTCTGTCTGTCTGTCTGTCTGTCTATCTATCTCTCTATCTATCGGTCTGTCTGTCTGTCTGTCTGTCTGTCTGTCTGTCTGTCTGTCTGTCTGTCTGTCTGTCTGTCTATCTATCTATCTATCTATCTATCTATCTATACAGTATACTATATCAAGTGCCATTTTTATTACAAGTGTGATTACACTCTATCTATCTATCTATCTATCTATCGGTCTGTCTGTCTGTCTGTCTGTCTGTCTGTCTGTCTGTCTGTCTGTCTGTCTGTCTATCTATCTCTCTATCTATCGGTCTGTCTGTCTGTCTGTCTGTCTGTCTGTCTGTCTGTCTGTCTGTCTGTCTGTCTGTCTGTCTGTCTGTCTATCTATCTATCTATCTATACAGTATACTATATCAAGTGCCATTTTTATTACAAGTGTGATTACAAGACTTTGGAAGTGTCATGAAAAATAACAAAATCATGTGTAATTACAGTCTACAGCTGTATTAATCATGCATATTGTTTCCTCCTACATATGCTAAGCTCTTAAATATTTTAGAGGGTCATAAAACTATTTTTAAAAATGGTTTTCCAGTGAACATTGAGAGACTGGAACAGTCAAGCGGCCTCTGAATGTCACTGTGTACAGTGTGTGAGGCCTTGGATCCCAAAATAAATGTCCACTGCTGCATTATAGAGGCTTGACCTGCTCATTTCGCACAATCACATGTTTATCTGACCTATAGAGTAGTGTTAATGCAGCTTCGTTACAGTTTTTCTCAGTTCTTGGTGCATTTCTCACTACAGTATTTACATTTGCACAACAGTTAATGCATTTCTCTGAACAATTAGTCATTTGAGCACATCATAGTAGCAGTTCCTCATTCCTTCCAACAAATTGCAAATGCCTTTGGACATGCATCAACTGTGGAGTTTGCATGTTCTCCTTGTGTTGGCGTGAGTTTCCTCTGGGTGCTCTGGTTTCCCCCACAGTCCAAACACATTCGCTATAGGGAACCCAAGCTCATTCTGGAAACGTAGCCCCGCGGACGTTTGTGGAGGCTGCGATTTACGTGGCCGGAGGTATGTATGGCCGCGTTTAGTTTTTTTCGAGCGAACGCTACGGGGCGGTGTGACGCCGCTCCGCTCCTCCTCTTCTCGACGGCTCGCCTCCGTGTGGACGGCTTTCCCGCTGCAACCAGTTTGTCCACTTAGCTTGCAGCGTTTTGTCAGCAGAGCGGAGGCCCGGAGGACGAGGAGCCGGCCACGGGGACGACCGGGATCGAGTCCGGGGAAGAGCGGTTCCAGAAATCAGGTGAGATGAAAAACAGAATCCAAAAAATAAGGGCGAGAACGCGGCGAGATCCAAAAAGGCGGTCAAAATCAAAGACAAGGGCTTTTACTCTTTTTTTTCCGGACGGCTGTTGCAAACAGTCGCTTGGGTTTCGGGAAGGAGAAGGAGGAGAAAGAGGAGGGCGGCCGGAGCGGTCGATTGGCCGGCCGCCCGGTCGATCGTTCAGTTGTTCAGCCAGTCAGTCGGACGGACGGTGGCTCCAGAGCGGCCTCTGTCGGCTTTTCACGCGAGAACAGCACGGGCGCGAACGGCGCGCGCTCCCGAGAGGCGTTCGAGATGTGAAAAAGCGCGCACAGCGGCCTCTCGTGGATCTGCGAAAACAAAAACTGCTCAAATATGTACCTTCCGGGACGTATTTCGCGGTCTGCAAAAACGTCCGCGGGGCTACGTTTCCACAATGAGCCCGGGTTGGCTATAGGAGAATTGATCGATTAAATTATTAATTAGTGTATGAGTGTGTGTGTTTGTGTGTGTGTGTGTGTGTGTGTGAATGAGGTTGTATGGATGTTTCCCAGTGGAAGGTCATCCTTGTAAAACATATGCTGGATGAGTTGGTGGTTCATTCCACTGTGGTAGAAAATGAATAATTGAGTGAATGAAGACTAATGTTATAATGCAGAAAGACTGTTCTTCGTGTTTGGCAGGAGCTTGTGGTGTGGCGGTCGGTTATCCTCTGGATACAGTGAAGGTAAACGTCTTTCAATCAGTTACAGTAAATGTCAGACAATCAGTTACTTTATTGAATGTTTGACTGTTGTTTATAGTTTGCAGAATCATTGCTGAAACCTTGCTAATGTTCATCTGCACAGGTCAGGATCCAGACGCAGAAACAGTTCACTGGAATCTGGCAGTGCATCGTCCTTACCATCAGAAAAGAAGGGGTAACACATACAAATAAATGTTCAAATAAAATGTCAAATCCAAGTCCAATGCAATAGTCTGGAGTGTAAAATAAAATCTGTAAAAAGTAATTAAAATTAGGCATAGTTAAAAAAAAAACTTCACTTTAGTTAGCTAAACTTTTATAAATAAGAAAGTAAACTTTGAATAATACAGAAAATTGAACTACAGTTTATAAGTTGAGCCAGTAAAAGAAGCACAGTTTTAAGTTGAGCCAACAACAGATTATTTACAGTGTAGTGTGGACATTATGTTCAAGTTTAAGCAAGAATTTACAAATAGCTGGTGCAACCCGACCTGGGTGTCAGACATTGATCTTTGTCTTTATGCTCTTCTTAAATGTAAATGTTTAGCATGAAGCTCTTGGCGATACTGTCAGGCTGGTTGGATTAGCACCTATGCATTTGAATTACACTGTTATGCTAATGAGATCAGAGCTCATTAGCATAATGGATGTGGAAATTTGTTACCGGGCGGATGTGTGCTTTCCCACATGAAGAAATACCATAGTATACTTCATTATTTAGATTTCATTTATTTTTCTTCAGCTTAGTCCCGTTATTAATCAGGGGTCGCCACAGTGGAATAAGCCACCAACTATTCCAGCATATGTTTTACACAGTGGATGTCCTTCCAGCCACAACCCAGTACTGGGAAACACCCATAATCACTTGCATTCACACACATACACTACGGCCAGTTCATCTAGTTCCCCTATAGCGCATGTGTTTGGACTGTTGGGGAAATCGGAGCACCCAGAGGAAACCCACGCCAACACGGTGAAAACATGCAAACTCCACACAGAAACACCATATGACCCAGCCGGGACTTGAACCAGCGACCTTCTTGCTGTGATGCGACAGCGATACTCAATGCACCATTATTATTATTGTTATTATAATAATAATTATTATTATTATTGTTGTTGTTATTGTTGTTATTAGTATTTTTGTTACTATTATTATTGTTAATATTATTATTGTTGTAATTAATATTATTGTTATTATTATTATTATTATTAATAATAATATTACTGTTGTTATTTTAATTAATATTGTTGTTATTATCATTATTGTTATTATTAGTATTGTAATTATTTTTTGTTGTTATTATATTGTTATCATCATTATTATTATTATTATTTATATTATCATTTATATTATTGTTATTATTCTTCTTATTATTATTATCATGCAAACAAATAATAATAGAAACTAAAGAAGTATTTAATATAAACAATCTAAAACTGTGCCTGTGCTGGGATTTTACATTTTTAAAAAGAATTATCAGCATATCCCTGTATGTTTTCTGGCATAAGCTGAGGTCTTTGCACATCAACAGTGTCCCCTGCTGATGAGAAAACTCTTTCACTGGGGACTGAGATGACTGGTGTGAAGAGGAAAACCTTTCCTAAACCAGAGAGCAGAGTGTACAGAGGTGGTCACTGGGCTCCTGCTCCAGCAGACTGAACACTGGCATAAAATACTGATCAAAAAATGACTGATTACATAGTAGCATAGAGACAGGAGCTGAACATGATTATGAAGGTGAATAAATAATATTACTTGTCTAATTAATTAGTATAAGTATCAGTGTGATACACTTAAGAAGAGATAATCTTGAATGAGTGTGTATGGGTGTTTCCCAGTACTGGGTTGCAGTTGGAAGGGCATCCGCTGCGTAAAACATATGCTGGATAAGTTGGCGGTTCATTCCGACGTGGCGACCCCTGATTATTAAAGGACTAAGCCAAAAAGAAAAGGAATGAATAAATATTTATTCAAACAAATTAGATTTAATAATATATTTTAATTTTTGTTAACTTCTCTCTGAACCCCTAGAAATGAGGTAAATGTAACAGAAATAAACCGGGAAATAAATAAATAAATAAAACAGGAATCACAAAGCATGAAATCTGATAACTTACTGATATTTTTACAGTGTGTATTTGTTGTAATAATGCCTGTAATATTTCCAACTGCAGCTCTGTTGAACACGCTTGGGAAATATTTGAAAAAGAATACAAATATCAGTATTTTTGTTTACATAATGTTAGTCTGTAATTACAGCTTGTTCTCTCTAACTGACACTGACCTCATTGTGTGTTTTCCTGCAGGTTCATGGCTTCTTCAAGGGCATGTTTTTACCCATCACCACTATATCCATGACCTCCTCTGTGGTATTTGGCACTTACCGTAACTGTCTGCAGGCTCTCTCTTACATCCGCAAGGCAGAAAACACTAAGCTGGATGTCTTTATGTCCGGTCTGGCCGGTGGTGTGGCACAGGTCAGATTTACTTTATAGGGGTCGTTCACACAGAATGCGTTATTCCATTCAAATGCTCTACTTTTCGATTGTTTTTCATTGTAAACATGCGCTTGTAATACGTATGGAATAACTGAGCCCATTGAATTATTAAAAAATAATGCACAACAGAGGTGCTGTTCAATACTATAGAACATAATTTCCTCTAACAAAATCACCACAACAGATCAATTACTATAGTCCTGTTACTATAGTAACTGTAGAATCACCACAAAATAACATGTCCTGTAGTTGAGTTACCGTAGCAATTGTAATCACCACAACAGATCAATTACTATAGTCAAGTTACCATAGCAACAGTAGAATTCCTACAAAACATCAATTACGATAGTTGTGTTACCAGAGCAACTGTAGAATTGCCACAAAAGATTAATTACAGCAGTTATGTTACTATTGTGTTACCATAGCAACTGTAGAATCGCCATAACAGATCAATTACTATAGTTGAGTTACCATAGCAACTGTAAAATCACCACAAAATAACAGTTACTATAATTGAGTTACCATAGCAACTGTAGAATCACCACAACAGATCAATTACTATTGTCAAGTTACTATAGTAACTGTGGAATCCCTACAAAACATCAATTACTATATTTGAGTTACCATATCAATTGTAGAATCACCATAACAGATCAATTACTATAGTCATGTTACCATAGCAACTGTAGAATCGTCCCAACAGATCAATTACTATAGTCATAGCAACTGTAAAATCGCCACAACAGATCAATTACTATAGTCATGTTACCATAGCAACTGTAGAATCGCCCCAACAGATCAATTACTATAGTCATGTTACCATAGCAACTGTAAAATCGCCATAACAGATCAATTACTATAGTCATGTTACCATAGCAACTGTAGAATCACCACAACAGATCAATTACTATAGTTGTGTTACCATAGCAACTGTAGAATTGCCACAACAGATCAATTACTATAGTTGAGTTACCATAGCAACTGTAAAATCACCACAAAATAACAGTTACTATAATTGAGTTACCATCGCAACTGTAGAATCACCACAACAGATCAATTACTATTGTCAAGTTACTATAGTAACTTTGGAATCCCTACAAAACATCAATTACTATATTTGAGTTACCATATCAATTGTAGAATCACCACAACAGATCAATTACTGGAGTTGTGTTACTATTGTGTTACTATAGCAACTGCAGAATTGCCACAACAGATCAATTACTATAGTCATGTTACCATAGCAACTGTAGAATCGCCCCAACAGATCAATTACTATAGTCATAGCAACTGTAAAATCGCCACAACAGATCAATTACTATAGTCATGTTACCATAGCAACTGTAGAATCGCCCCAGCAGATCAATTACTATAGTCATGTTACCATAGCAACTGTAGAATCACCACAACAGATCAATTACTATAGTTGTGTTACCATAGCAACTGTAGAGGTGCCACAACTGATCAATTACTATAGTTGAGTTACCATAGCAACTGTAAAATCACCACAAAATAACAGTTACTATAATTGAGTTACCATAGCAACTGTAGAATCACCACAACAGATCAATTACTATTGTCAAGTTACTATAGTAACTGTGGAATCCCTACAAAACATCAATTACTATATTTGAGTTACCATATCAATTGTAGAATCACCACAACAGATCAATTACTGGAGTTGTGTTACTATTGTGTTACTATAGCAACTGCAGAATTGCCACAACAGATCAATTCCTATAGTCGTGTTAGATTAGCAGCTGTAGAATTCACTTTACATATCAATTACTTTAGTTGTGTTACCATAGCAACTGTAGAATAACCACAACAGATCAATTACTGTAGTCATGTTACCATAGCAACTGTAGAATAACCACAACAGATCAATTACTGTAGTCATGTTACCATAGCAACTGTAGAATCGCCACAACAGATCAATTACTATAGTCATGTTACCATAGCAACTATAGAATAACCAAAACAGTTCAATTACTATACTTTGTGTCACCATAGCAACTTGTCTATTGTTTTTCCTTGTAAACATGAGCTTGTAATACATAGGAAATAGTTGAGCCCATTGAATTATTAGAACATAACATATACTATAGAACAGAACTTCCTGTGGTAAATACTGTAGTGTTTTTAAACCTTATTACAGTAAATTTCGACTTGTTGTGGTAACAACACTTTTTCTACTTTAACTACTATAGTAAAAAAAAAATATGAATTACTATAGTAAATTTTCTCCATCTATATTGTACACTGCAAAAAGCGATTAATTACTTAACTTTAAAAAAGTTAGTGAACCAGTTGATTTAACTTTTTCTATATTATTGCACAGTACTTTGTTTACTTAATAATAATAAGGCTGTTTTGTGTGTGCTGTGTTTTGACGCAGGTGTCTGTAATGTCACCTGGAGATATAGTGAAGGTGCGTCTTCAGTGCCAGACGGAGAGCAGACACAGCGTTAATCCCAAATACAGCGTTAAACCCAAATACAGCGGGCCGATTCACTGCCTGCTGAGCATCTGCAGGGAACAGGGCCTCTCAGGGCTGTATAGAGGAGCTTTACCTCTGGCTCTCAGAGACGGACCTTCATTCGCCACTTACTTCCTCACATACCACACATTGTGTGCACGACTGACTCCAGACGGACAGAAAGAGCCTGGTGAGAGAAACTATCGCTAACACAGCTCAATTACTATAGTTGTATAACCATAGCAACTGTAGAATAACCACAACAGATTAATTATTATAGTTGTACTATCGTAGATACTGTAGAATCACCACAACAGATCAAATTCTGTAGTTGTGTTACCATAGCAACTGTAGAATCACCACAACAGATCAATTACAGTAATTGTGTTACCATAGCAACTGTAGAATCACCACAACAGATCAATTACAGTAATTGTGTTACCATAGCAACTGTAGAATCACAACAAAAGGTCAATTACTGTAGTTGTGTTATCATAGCAACTGCAGATTCACCACAACAGATCAATTACTGTAGTTGTGTTACCATAGCAACTGTAGAATCACCAATACAGATCAATTATTTTAGTTGCGTTACCATAGCAACCGTAGAATCACCACAACAGATCAATTACTGTAGTTGTGTTAGCATAGCAACCGTAGAATCACCACAACAGATCAATTACTGTAGTTGTGTTAGCATAGCAACTGTAGAATCACTACAACAGATCAATTACTGTAGTTGTGTTACCATAGCAACTGTAGAATCACTACAACAGATCAATTACTGTAGTTGTGTTACCATAGCAACTGTAGAATCACTACAACAGATAAATTACTGTAGTTGTGTTACCATAGCAACTGTAGAATCACCACAACAGATCAATTACTGTAGTTGTGTTACCATAGCAACTGTAGAATCACTACAACAGATCAATTACTGTAGTTGTGTTACCATAGCAACTGTAGAATCACTACAACAGATCAATTACTGTAGTTGTGTTACCATAGCAACTGTAGAATCACTACAACAGATCAATTACTGTAGTTGTGTTACCATAGCAACTGTAGAATCACTACAACAGATCAATTATAATATTCAACTATAATGAACTTATAATATAATTAATTACTATATTATATATTATTACTATATTATTAATTATTACCATAGTATTTTTGGTTTTGTGTGGTTTAACAGCAAGGTATGATCTTTTAAAAGGTGTATAATTGTACCTGATAGTTTGCTGCTGATGTGATCATGTCTACTGGTGTCAGAGTGGACGGTGGTGCTGCTGTCCGGTGGAGTTGCTGGGATGTCCGGCTGGGCTGTGGGGACACCGATGGATGTGATTAAAGCCCGTCTGCAGATGGATGGAGTGCGAGGACAGAGGAGATACCGTGGGCTCCTGCACTGTCTGACTGTAACCACACGCACTGAAGGTCTAGGGGTTTTCTTCAGGAGTCTTGGCATTAACTGCTTGCGGGCATTTCCAGTCAACATGGTGGTCTTCGCCGTGTATGAAGTCAGTGTTCGAGTTCTCAGATCTGCACCTCTGGTGTCCTGACGATAAGAAAACTCACAATGACCCAGATAAAAAAATTCATTTTCTTTTCGGCTTAGTCCCTTTATTAATCTGAGGTTGCCACAGCGGAATGAACCGCCAACTTAGTTAGCATATGTTTTACGCAGCAGATGCCCTTCCAACTGCAACCCATCACTTGGAAACATTCATACACACTCATTCACACACATACACTTTGGACAATTTAGCTTACCCAATTCCCCTTAACCACGTCTTTGGACTTGTGGGGGAAACTGGAGCACCGGGAGGAAACCCACGCCAACAAGGGGAGAACATGCAAACTCCACACAGAAACACCAACTGACCCAGCCGAGGCTCAAACCAGTAACCTTCTCACTGTCACCCAGATAAAAATAAATAAATACTAGAGTAAATACTGTAATGTTTTTGAACCATACTGAAGTAAATTGTATTACACAGTATTTATTATAGTATCTATAACTCTCTGTTAATAAATGCTTAAGCGTAGTAAAGTGTATTAACTATGATGAACTGATATGTTGTAATAAATGCTATAGTATATTTCAAATTTTACCACAGTAAACTGTGGTGTATTGTAGTATAATATACCCCTTAGTTGTAGACAACTAGAGTATTTGGTCGTTTGTTTATATTACTATAATTGTGTTACCATAGTAACCATAAAATTCCCACAACACATCAATGACTATAGTGGTGTTACCATAGCAACTGTAGAATCCCACAGCAGATCAATTATTATAGTCGCACTGTCATAACAACTGCAGAATCACCACAACAGCTCAATTACTATAGTTGTGTTACCATAGCAACTGCAGAATCACCACAACAGCTCAATTACTATAGTCGTGTTACCATAGCAACTGTAGAATCACCACAACAGACAAATTACTATCGTTGTGTTACCATAGCAATCGTAGAATCACCACAACAGATCAATTCCTATAGTTGTGTTACCATAGCAACTGTAGAATCACCACAACAGATCAATTATTATAGTTGCGCAATAATAGTAACTGTAGAATCACCACAACAGATCAATTATTAATTGCGCTACCATAGCAACTGTAGAATCACCACAACAGCTTAATTACAATATTCAAGTTACCATAGCTACCGTAAAATCACCACAACAGATTAATTATTATAGTTACACTACCGTAGCAACTGTAGAATCACCACAACAGATCAATTATTAATTGCGCTACCATAGCAACTGTAGAATCACCACAACAGCTCAATTACAATTGTCAAGTTACCATAGCAACCGTAGAATCACCACAACAGATTAATTATTATAGTTACACTACCGTAGCAACTGTAGAATCACCACAACAGATTAATTATCATAATTACACTACCCCAGCAACTGTAGAATCACCACAACAGATCAATTATTAATTGCGCTACCGTAGCAACTGTAGAATCACCACAACAGATCAATTATTAATTGCGCTACCATAGCAACTGTAGAATCACCACAACAGCTCAATTACAATTGTTAAGTTACCATAGCAACCATAGAATCACTACAACAGATTAATTATTATAATTACACTACCCCAGCAACTGTAGAATTACCACAACAGATTAATTATTATAATTACACTACCCCAGCAACTGTAGAATTACCACAACAGATTAATTATTATAATTACACTACCCCAGCAACTGTAGAATTACCACAACAGATCAATTACAATACTCAAGTTACCATAGCAACCGTAGAATCACCACAACAGATTAATTATTATAGTTACACTACCGTAGCAACTGTAGAATCACCACAACAGATCAATTATTAATTGCGCTACCATGGCAACTGTAGGATCACCACAACAGATCAATTACAATAGTCAAGTTACCATAGCAACTGTAGAATCACCACAACAGATTAATTATTATAGTTACACTACCGTAGCAACTGTAGAATTACCACAACAGATCAATTACTATAGTTGTTACCATAGCAACTGTAGAATTACCACAACAGATCAATTACTATAGTTGTTACCATAGCAATCTGCAATATATTAATCCAAGTTTATGTTAGTATGGTTCAAAAACACCAGAATTGAATACATCACTGTTTTTTCATGTGGTCAACAAGCACTTTGTTAATGAATTAATGAAATGAAGTCAGTAAATTATGTGGTGACGCATTCAGATTAATTTTTAATGCTAATGGATAACAAAACAACACACACAGACAGACACACACACACGCACACACACTGTTTGTCCTGTATACGTGTTAGTAAGAATGGTCAGATCTGCGTGTAAACATTAATGCATATAAATGGTAAGATACCGCTGAAAACGCACAATGTAGGACTGTGGAAGTGTATTTATTATGCAACAGCTGATCTCCAGTCAGTCCTGTTATATTAGTTTTCTGTCTTAAACACTTTAAGCCAGTGGTTCTCAAACTTTTTTCACCAAGTACCACCTTAGAAAAAAGTTGTCTCTCCAAGTACCACCTTACGACGCTATTTTTTAACCAGTATTAAAAAATAGCGACGTAGGCCTAATTAAGCAGCTACAGGTGTGCACATTGGTAAAAACGATGCAGATTAATTTCTATTATTAAGAATATGTATTATTGTCATTCACTTTAAACATTTTAAATAGTCTGAACATTAACTGTGCTTGCAGGTAAAAAAAAAAAAAAAAAACGTTTTAGTTAAAATGTGCTTTTAAAAGTTCATTAAAAAATGGCACTGTTCTTAAAAAGTAAAAAGAAAACTGCTGTACTTAAATCTAAAGTTTTCATAGTAGCCTATTCATCAAAAGTTGGAAATGTTGCTTGGATCTCATAAATATAGGATAAATGTCATATTCATACACTTTCAGATAAATCTTGAAATATATGTTAAATGTACACCATATGACAGGGTTCATACAGGGACAGCCTAATGAAAATCAATTCCAGCACCTATTTTTTTTTCAAGACTGACATGCTATGTATTGAAGACCTGAAATGTATTGTCAGCAACACATAAAACATTATATAGGAATAGATACAAATAAAAACCATTAATAATAATAATAATAATAATAATAATAATATTTATTAACCATATATTAATAATATAATAAACCTGCACTAAATCCTTGTAAAATCTTTTTTGTACTCAAGTAAAAATACTATTACACTGCTAAAATAACACAAATTTTAGTAAATAATACTAATATTAGGTAAAAGTACAAAGTACTCTTTTAATAAGTACTAGTTAAAAAAATCTGATTTTTATTATAAAATCACTTTTTTTAAGTGTAAACCTGATTGAATGGTTTAATTGCTTAAATCCCAAAGCTACATGTATAGGAACTTGCACTAACAAAGGAAGTGTGACCGATTTTTTCTTTCATGACAATTAATCTTTTTCAATAGCACTGGTAAAACTACCACATAATCTTTAAGGCCATCAAGACAGTTTTTGACCATTTTTAAACAATATTTTTAAGCTTTGAAAGGTTAAATTAAAGTATATGGTAAAAAGATTTAAATTTAGCCTTTTATTTGCATATTTTACACTATTTTTCTTTACAATATGGCAAATTTATTTCTTAAATAGCTGTACATCACATGGAGATTTTATTTTACACTTGATCTTAATCTAAAATACAAACTTTAAAAAAATACAAGTACACTGTCAGTTAAAAAATAAAACAAAGGACTTCATTTTACTTGAGGTATTTGAAATATGACAACAGTACATTTATCAAAGCAGTGCTTTAAGAGTCTTATTGTTCATTTTGATAAATAAACAATAAGTAACAACGGATTGCTTTGACCTGTAATGCCTTAAGACAGATCAGAATACAGCTAAATGTATAAATCACACAAATACCTCATCCAGAAACATTTCCAGCATAATTATTTTGTCGTAAAGAAATAAAAAAAATACCACCTTTGTTAAAAGTAAGTTTCACTTTACAACACAGCCAAACAAGAAGACCATTAGCATTGTAATCGATTATGCATCAATCTGTTTCTAAATACTTGATAACTTTGAATACTTTTGACTAAATTTAGTCAAGGAGCAAAGATAAATAATGTCTACTTTAATAGTGGAAAGGTCGTGATTGTATTCAATCTGAGCACGCAGGCGATCATGAGAGCACTTGCAGTTCATTTGAAAAAAGCCTATTTAAGAGCTCGCATGTCTGTTTTAGCGATTTGCGTACATGAATGCGCTCTCGTGTTAAAATAAAGCACTCGCCACATTTGCAGAAATGAGTTATTGCGCAATAACTCCAGTCCCGCGCCGCCATTCAGAATGTATAGAGGAGTGACAGGTCAGAGGCGAGTCGACTCGCTGTCGTAGGGCGAAACGTGTATGAAGATCATAAAATAGGCAGGAAATATGTCCGCGGTTTTATACTCTGCTAGACATTTCTATAGTGAAAACATCCGAGAAGCATTATTCCAACAAAACATTTGTTTTTAAGTTGTTTTCTCTGTCTCTGCAACACAGAAAGCCTTTGTCCCGCCCTTACGTTTCACGCAAAACTAGACAAGGTCGACTGTGATTGGCCACTTTTCATGTCAGTCAAATCACGCTTCAGAATCAATTCTTAAGCTGCTGAATATGTTTCCGAAGTTTATGACACAATGCACTAAAATAAACACTCTAAGCACAGAGCTGTGATCGTACGCTTCACTAAACAGAAAATGCTGATCACATCGATGTTATAGTACGCATCAAAGGATTAAAAGTGTTAATTGTTTATTTCATTATTTGGCGATTCCTCCGCGTACCACTAGGAGGAAGCCCGCGTACCACTAGTGGTACGCGTACCACAGTTTGAGAACCACTGCTTTAAGCTATTATTCATTTGCACTGCTGATTTATTTGAATGTTTTTATGGAAATATTTCAGCAATTGTTGCATCCATCCAGAAGTGGCACTTACGTGCAGTCTGAGCTCTTGGTTTTCACTCTCTTCTCTAAATGTGCCTTGTTATTAGACATTCATTTGTGTTGTCTGCAAAAACACTGGAGAAGCAGGATGATCTGACATTACTGTTAAATTCACATGTCATGATGATATACAGAAATCATACAATAAAGTTTACATCATTTACATAGCGTGTGTTTTCCTTTCAACCTTCATTACAAAATACTGAAATAACTAAAAATAAACCCATAAACATTTTGTTTTTTATATAAAATAAAGCTTTCTGTTTTCCCTTTTGACAAATTAAACCAGTTACTAACAATTAATATAATATACACTACCTGACAGAAGTGTTGTGGTGGATCTCAGTTGTAGGAGCAGCAAATAATAACTCGACTTCTAGTTGATGATTTGGGAGTGTTGAAGGTGGATTTCTCTGCTGAATCAACTGTTGATCTGCATTAATCATCATCAATACTGCAGAAGACCTACTGGAACCAGCATGGACCAAGATTCTCACAGAAATCAGTCAAGTTTGGTGAAGTAGACATCATGGTTTGGGGTCTACATTCAGTATGGGGGCGTGCGAGAGATCTGCAGAGTGGATGATCAACATCAGCAGCCTGAGGTATCAAGACATCTGTACTGCCCATTACATTACAAACCACAGGAGAGGGACAATTCTCCAGCAGGATAGCGCTCCTGCTCATACTTCAGCCTCCACATCAAAGCTCCTGAAAGCAGAGAAGGTCAAGCTGCTCCAGGATTGGCCAGCCCAGTCACCAGACATGAACATTATTGAGCATGTCTGGGGTAAGATGAAGGAGGAGTTGTTGAAGATGAACACAGACTCTTGATGAACTCTGGGAGTCCTGCTAAACGCTTTCTTCTTCATTCCAGATGACTTTATTAATCAGTGATTTGAGTCATGTCAGAGATGTATGGATGCAGTCCTCCAAGCTCATGATGGAGTCAGACACAATATTCATTCTGTCTCCACTGCAGCAGGACTTTATATTCTATACTGGACATTATTTCTGTTCAGTGATGAGACTTTAGTCTGAGCAGAGTCAGACCGCACTGTCCTCATCAAATCAGTCAACATCAAGACATGATCAGATTTTATTGAGCTCAAATCAGCAAAATCTAGAGGCCTTTACCTTTCATAGAGACACTTCTGACACCAAATCATCAACTAGAAGACCAGTTATTATTTGCTGTTCCTTAAACTTGGATAAGTGACAAGACTACTGTCAGGTAGTTTATAATGATAATAATATAATATAAAATAATATAAAATAATGTAATATAATAATATAAAATAAAATAATATATTATAAAATAAAATAATATAATATAAAATAATATAATGTAAAATAATATGACTTAATATAATATAAAATAATACAATATAATATAATATAAAATAATATAATTTAATATAAAATAATATAATTTAATATAAAATAATGTAATATAATAATATAATATAAAATAATATAATGTAAAATAATATGACTTAATATAATATAAAATAAAATAATATAATATAATATAATT